GAGAGAGAGAGAGAGAGAGAGAGAGAGAGAGAGAGAGAGAGAGAGAGGATGGAGTGATTGACAGTTCAAACGCTAGACTGGGAGTTGCTTCAATTGGTAGAGTACTTGCCTAGCATGGTTAAAACTCTGAGTTTGATGCCCAGCACCATATAAAAAAGATTAAGGTAGTATACACCTCTAATGCCAGCACTTGGGAAGTGGAGGCAGGAGAATAGGAAATGTGTGGTCATCCTCTACCTCACAGTGAATTCAACACTATATCCTGAACTATATGAGGGGCTGTCTCGAAAACAATTAAAGATTTAATCAAAGATCAATGGGGGAAAGCTATGTCTGATGGAAACTTCAGTGGACTGAAAAGGATCTTAAGTGACATTTACAGAAGGCAGAAGGAGGTTTTCAGGAACAAGGACTAATTAAAACCCATTACTGCACTGATGAAGTCTTCTGCCTGTGCCCGTTATCTAATACCAAGCCAGTGATTAACTTTAGCTTTCTCCTGGTTGTTGAAAGTGCTGTGATCATTTGATGTTTATGGAGTCATGGTGGTGACAACATCAGCACAGGGTTATTTCTCGTCACTGTTTTTATTAGATAGGCTCTCCCAATGTTGCTCAAGCTGGTCCCATAGAATCCTCCTGCCTCATCCTCCTGAGTAGAGGCATCACAGACCTGGGCCCTCACACAGCTTACACGAAAGTGTGTTGGAGAAGAATGAAATTTGTCCAAAGTATTTGAGCAGATGCACTAGCCAGTTATTTACTGTGCTAATCTTTTCTCAGCCCTCAGTGTGCCCTGAAAATGAACCACTGTGTGTTGCAACTGTTAGCCCAGAAGTGTAAACATTCTCTTCCTGGACTCTTGCTGAATGTAACTTCTAAAATGAATCTATACATTCAAAATGACTCTAGTCAAAGTTCCAGTGGCATCCCCCACCCTGACACCAACACACCAAAGCTCTTCTAAAATACATCAGAAAAATAATGGCTCTCTCTCTCTCTCTCTTCTCTCTCTCTCTCTCTCTCTCTCTCTCTCCTCTCTCTCTCTCTCTCTCTCTCTCTCTCTCTCCCTCTCTCTCTCTCTCTCTCACACACACACACACACACAAAACAGAAAGAAAAAGAGAAAAACAATAAAAAATAAAGAAAACAAAACTACTACAGAGATAAAAGTGTTGTTAACGATATCACAACAGATTGCCTATATGTTCTGTTGCTTCTGAGAGAAACTGAAGCCAGTCTGTCTGAGGAGACAGCAAGCAGTTTGAGAAAAATCACTTTCAAAGGCTCACATTTACCTTTTATTATATATATATATATATATATATATATATAATATGAGATAGTTAAGGAAAAATAAATACAAGAATCAAAGGGAAAAATAGCGAAAAAGAAAGTGAAATCAATATTTACTAAAAATCTAGAGATAAAAGGGTTTACTAAGCTTGAAAACAATAACACCTCTAAGGAAGACCATGAAAGATTAAACCAGAAACTGTGTTGAAACTTTATTACATAAACTTTAAATAAGCATATTATGAAAATTCCTTCAGAAATACTAAAAATATAAATTTTTATCATATTATGAACTTGTTTAAGTTGTCAAGGTCTCTATAAGGAAAACAATATTAATACACAAGAAGACAAAATATATTTTCACTTTACAATTAATCAATGAAAATCCTTGTATCCATTATAACAGACACAAAAACCACCATCAAGATGTAACTGGTTTGCTATTGTAAATAGTGTTTTCTAATAAACAATATTAATGGTAAATGTAGAGGTGGTTTGTGTAAGCCAGCTGTTAGGATCTTTGTCTTCTTGATTTCTTAATGTTTTTAAAGATCCTTATGGGCAAGTATTATTTTTATAATTGAAAACTTTAAAACTATAGCACATATCTACACCAATTGGGAAAATCATCTTCCCTGATGGGTGAATGCACCATAATACACACTGAGTTATGGGCGTCGGCCCCTCCACTTATCATCAGTAAGATTCTGCTTAGAGACAACAGCATCTCTCAGTGAAAAAGCTTTCCGTCCTTCAGCATCAATAGAGAAGCACTACCTGCCTGTTGGCTTAAAATGATGAGCGAAAACATAGGTTTGGGGACTGGAAGACGGCTCCATCTATAAAGTATTTGCTGTGTAAGCATGAGGACCTGAGTTCATATCCCTAGCACTCAAGTAAAAACTCAAGCACAACGGTGTATGTTCATAACCCCTGTGCTGGGGAATTGTGTGAAGACAGGAGTATCCTTGAGTATCTTCATTAGCCAGCCTGCCTAGGCGAGATAAGTGAGACCCAACCTCCAAAATAAGATGAAGAACACAGAGAGAGGAGGGGATGGGGAGAAGGAGAAAGAGGACATTTGACTCACATTAAAGAATACGTGGAAGGTCAAGCATGGGTATCCAGCAGAGCGTCAGCGATGGGGTTTCCAAGGCAGAACAGCTGAAGCAGCAGCTGCTCGGCTCCTAGGAATTTTCCTGGAGCTGGATTGTGTACATAGAAGAATCTCAGAACCTTTTATCATCTAGCTCCCTTTTGTTTTAATAAAGGACAGGAGCGGTATAGCTAGGACTGGAGGTAGAGCTATTCCCAGTCTTCTGAGAAACTGTCAAATGGATTTCCAAAGTGGTTGTACAAGTCTGCGCTCCCACCAGCAATGGAGGAGCGTTCCCCTTGCTCCACATCCTCGCCAGCATGTGCTATCTCTTAAGTTTGATCTTCGCCATTTTGATGGGTGTAAGATGGAACCTCAGAGTTGTTTGGATTTGCATTTCCTTGATGACTAAGGACTTTGAACATTTCTTTAAGTGTTTCTTGGCCATTCAAGATTCCTCTGCTGAGAACTCTGTTGAGCTCTACACCCCATTTTTTAATAGGGCTATTTGAGTTGTTGCTGTCTAACTTCTTGAGTTCTTTCTAAATTTTGGATGTTAACCCTATGTCAGATGTAAGGTTGGTGGAGATCCTTTCCCAATTGGTAGGCTGCCATTCTGTCCTATTAACAGTGTCCTTTGCCTTACAGAAGCTTTTCAGTACCATGAGGTTCCATTTATCACTTGTTGATCTTAGAGCTTGAGCTATTGGTGTTCTGTTCAGGAAGTTATCTCCTGTACCAATGAGTTGAAGACTATTCCTCACTTTCTGTTCTATTAGATTGTGTCCAGTTTTGAGTTGAGGTCTTTGATCCACTTGGACTTGAATTTTAATGCAGGGTGATAGATATGGATTTCTTTGCATTCTTCTACATGCAGACTCCCAGTTAGATGCTTTTTCCCCCATTGTATGGTTTTACCTTCTTTATTTAAAAATCAAGTGTCTATGGGTGTGTGGGTTTATATCAGGGTCTTCAATTCAATTCTGTTGATCAAGATGTCCGTTTCTGTACCAATACCATGCGGTCTTTATTACTATTACTCTGTAGTACAGACTGAGGTCAGGGTGGCAATATGTCCAGAAGTCCTTTGATTGTTCAGGGTTGTTTCAGCTATCCTGGTTTTTTTGTTTTTCCATATGAAGTTGAGAATTGTTTTTTCAATGACTGTAAAGAATTGTGTTGGACTTTTGATGGAAATTGTGTTGAATCTGTAGATTGCTTTTGGTAAGATGGCCATTTTCACTATCTTAATCCAACTGATCCATGGTCATGGGAGATCTTTCCATGTTCTGATAGCTTCCCCAATTTCCTTCTCCAGCAACTTGAAGTTCTTGTCATATAGGTCTTTCACTTGTTTAGTTAGAGTTACACTAAGATATTTTATATTATTTGTGGCTATTGTTAAGGGCGTTGTTTCCCTAACTTCTTTCTTGGTCTTTTGTATAAAGGACAGAAAACTGGGAATAGTTCTACTTTAAGACACAGCTACACCATTCCTTGGCATGTGTCCAAAAGATACCCCACTATACCACAGGGACACTTGCTCAACTATGTTCATGGCAGCTTTATTCGTAATAACCAGAAACTGGAAACAACCCAGATGTCTCTCAACTGAAGAATGGATATAGAAAATGTGGTATATCTGTCTACACAATAGAATATTATTCAGCTATTAAAAACAAAGACATCATGAATTTTGAGGACAAATGGATGAAACTTGAGAATATCATCCTGAGT